GGGGGGGCTCTGGGGAGGGGGGGGCGGGGGGGGGGCGGGGGGCGGGGAAAGGGCAGGGGGGCGGCAGGCTTGTCCCACACTGGCACGGGCAGGGGACAGAGCGGCTCACTGTGCTCCAGGTACACTTTGTTATCACTTTGATCCCTCAGGTGTCCTCTGCCTGTCACCTGCTTTTTCCTCCTGTTTGTGAGCACCCTCGGCCCTTCCTCTGCTGGCTCCTGCTCTCAGCTCTGCTGTAGCAGTGGCACAGCCATGGTCTGGCTTTGTCCCCAGCCCTCTGGGCTGGGGGTGCAGCCCCCTCACTGCTCTGCCTCCCAGCAAGGCTGTGGGCAGTTGCATCACTGTTGGGGTTGTGTAATCCCTGCCATCCGAAAGCCCAAAGTTGACCTGATTTTTCTATGAAGGCAGGATGGTGTTGGTGGCTGCTGGGCTGGGACACAGCCTGCGTGCTGCGGAGGGGCTGCACAGGGCAGGGCAGGGCTCCCAGGGAGCTCCCAGCTGGAGTGTGCCGAGCAATGCCTCCCAGGGCAGCTCAGTGCCCAAGAGGAGGGCTCACAGTCCTGGCAGAGGAGAGAGATGCTGAGCAGCCATTTGGATACAGCCTGGCCCTGCTCAGTGCTCCATCTGATGCCAGCCCTGGCCCGGGGGTTGCTGCTGGGACAGTCGGTCCCATTCACCTCCCTGGCCTTGTCCCAGTGCTCCCAGTGCCAGGTGTTGTCTTTGGCAGGGGTGCAAGGTCAGCACAGGGCCAACACCAACAGTTTATGTAAGGGGGAAGTCCCTCCTGCCCACGGCCCCCAGGTGAGCCGCAGGGACAAGGGCCCTTTGTCAGCTCCTCTCTGGGTGACATGTCACCAGGACCAGGTGCTATTCTCATCCCCAGCCCACGCACCGTGCCTGAATGGGGGTGGCCTGGCTGGGCAGAGGTTCGCTCAGGATCTGCCCCCAGCACATGGATCCCCTATATATCTGTGTGTGCATTCCCAGCTTGGCCGCACATGCTGGGGTACCAGAGGCCAGGCATAGCTCCTGGGAACGCTGTGGAGGCACTGGGGTAAGTGCCATGTGTCCATGGGGTGCTGGAGATCCCCCAGGACCGTGGCCACAGAGGGTGGTCCTGGGGTCCCCGGTGGCTCTCGGGCCGGGTGCCAGGGTGTGCCCAGCTGGTGGGGGCACCATCCCTGGAGGTGTTCAACAAATGGGTAGACGTGGTGCTTCAGAACGTGGTTTAGTGGTCACGGGGGTGTAGGGCTGATGGTTGGACTTGATGATCTTAAAGGTGTTTTCCAACCTGAATTACTCTGTGATGGTTCTACGCCCCGGGCGAGGCAGCGGCCGGACGTGCACCCTACAGAACTAACCCACTTTCGCAGAAATCTGCCCCGCGCCAGATTTTCTGGGCTGTTTTCAGCATCCCAGTTACCAAGGTGACTGCTTCCTGTGCAATTGCTAATGCTGCACGATCTGATCATTGATAAGAGCACTGATCTGTGAAATCCGAGTGACTGCCTTCCCTCTGCCTTTCCCTGCCGGGCGCGCTGGGGCGCGGGGGGCCCAGACCCCCCGGAGGAGCGGAGCATCCAGGTGAGTTTGGTTCTGCGGCGGTGGCACTCTGCTCCCAGCTGTCACCTCACTCCCAACGTGTGTGCCGGGGACAGGAGCACGCTGCACCTCCCGGGGCCACAGCTCACCCTCCACCTCGTCCCCTCGCTGGAAGGCTCTCTCCTAGGTTTTCCTGGTGTTCCTGCTTCCCAGACTGATCCGTCAGGGGTGCAGCCCCCACAGAACGGAAAGGCCAATGCCATTTCTGTTGGCCCGGTTGAGAGACCCCCATCTCTGCCAGGGCTGGAGCAGGATGGGCTGGGGGGGCTTGTGTCCCCCCAGCCCCAGGGCACGGAGAGGGG